ATAGGAATTAGAATAAGAATAGAATAGAAATATATGGAATAGAATAGGAATTAGAATTAGACTAAGAATAAGAATAGAATAGAAATACATGGAATAGAATAGGGAATAGAATCGAATAGAATCGAATCGAACAGAATATTTTAGTGGCCAAGTGTGATTGGACACAGAATTTGTCCTGGTGCAAATGCTCTCAGTGTGCATAAAAGAAAAGAGACATCCGTCAAGAGTCAAGAATCATCAGGCGCAACACTTAATAAGAGTCATAGGGGACAATAAACTCGATGAATCTATGGTGGCTCCATGAGAGAAACTTTTCCCACGTGTTTGCTTCAACCAGAAGGAGCCCACTGGTGTCCCCCTCCTTTCTTCCCCCCACCCCAAAAGGAGAAAATAACATTTAATTTAAACCTCCATCTTATCTCTTGTGTTTTTTGAGTAAAAAGTATGGTAGACAGTCCAGGGTACGGAGAGAGGTTGATGGGCTATTGATGAAACACGGAGATGGGACGAAAAAAATAAAATAAAAATCAATATGGATGATTGATCTCCGGAGCGTTAAGGGGTGGGCAGCGAAAAGGGGCACAGCCATTTGCGCCTCTCGGGCGCCCGAGGGCAGCCAGAGATGGTTATAAAGGGGAGAACCTGGCAAAGTGGCAGAAGGGTGCCAGGAAGGGCTGTGATGCAGGTAAGACGGAAAATTGAGCACAGGTAGGGACAAAGGACCGACTTATGCAGGTAGAAAAGCGGGCAGAGAGAGAGGGGGGGATAAATGGATGGAGGAAATCCAGTTTTTTTCAAATTTTGGGCACCTCCTGGCGCTGAATTTAAACCGGGGATGAGTTTGGTCTGTCCCAGCAGCAGTTTTGGGCTGAATGACAACGTCTTTGGCTGGCTTTATTCGTGGGGCGATCAAAAAGGGCATTTCAGTTTTTATTGGAATAGGTCAGGGGATTTTCCCCCTGTTTTCTTGGCTTGGTCCAAAAATTGATATAGGAGAAAGCAGAGGCTGGGAGAGGCTTGTAAACCTGCAGGTGGAGAGCGTGCCTTCCTTCCCACGGTTGGATGTTTAAAGGTAGACTGCGCTGGCATGCAGAAGTTCTGTTTTCTGCTGCAGTTATTAATTTTTCTCCCCTGAGTGTAGCAGTCATTTTCTTAAGGCCGTCTAAACTAACATATAAATCCAGTCCCTTTCTCCCTTCCTTCATCTTCCTTCCCTATCTATCCATCCATCTCCTTCTCTCCCTACCTTCTGTCTCCTTTTTTCTTCTTCTCTTCCTTTCTTCCTGATCTATCTAACCCTCTCCCTCTTTCCTAACCCTTCCTTCCTTCCCCTCCTTCCTCTTCCCTTCCTTTTTTCCCGATCTATCCAACCATTTCCCTTTCCTATCTTTTTCCTTCCTTCCTTCCTTCCTTCCTTCCTTCCTTCCTTCCTTCCTTCCTTCCTTCCTTCCTTCCTTCCTTCCCTTTCCTAACCCTTCCTTCCTTCCTTCCCTTCCTTCCTTCCCTTTCCTAACCCTTCCTTCCTTCT